TTATATTTGTTTATGAACATTTTGCACTTAGATGTTATTCTTGGATGTTGTCTGTCTTCTTTTTAATGAATATCATATGATGTTTGCTTTTGACTGACTGCAGTTCCAAGGATATCCTTATGCGAGTTGTGGCGCAAAATCTCTCTCCTGAGTTGACTCTGGTGGAAAAGGTTTACTCTAAACCATCGAATGTTTGATTATTCTATATTTCGTATTAAGTATATAGCTCTGTTCCATTTTTAAAATAAGCTTCCTGAACAAACTTGTGCTATCCAAATAATTTCTTTAGGTAATGACTCCAAACCCTGAGTGTGCCTCATTAGAGACAACAATCCTTGATGCGCTGCATATAATGCATGAAGGGAAGTTCTTACATCTTCCTGTCTTAGACAGAGGTGAGTGGTACATTTTAAGGACATATTTTTAATGTTTATAAGGTGTATTGACATCTGTTTGCGCAGATGGATGCATTGCTGCTTGCTTGGATGTTCTGCAGATAACTCATGCAGCAGTTTCTATGGTAAAGTCATTGCGGTTGTGGTTTAGATGCATGCTTCAATCATCAGAGTGAAATTTTTAATTTTAATTTTTTGTTCCTTTGCGTTTGTATGTGAAAGATGTTGATTTTTCATTGAAGTGGAAGATATTGAACTTTTAAGGGATGGGATTGCCCAATATATAATTCAATGCATTATATTGGTTTATGTTTTAATCTTCCAATTATGGTATAATAGAAGCTGGTCTAACATGTCTTGTGGGTGTGTTTCTCATGGTTGTCTGATTTTATTTTACTTCTATTTCTATTTCGTTCCTTATATGGTTTACAAATTCTGCATGCATCTTTTCCTCCTTGATTGCCATGTTAGTCTTGATTTTTGTCTTTTGGTTACATAGATTATATGTATCTTAGATTCTTATGTGCATTATTCTTATGGTTCTTGCCGAGTTTTTTTATTTGGTGCATGTGAATTATGAACTTTTTGGCCATAAATGTTTGAAACTAAAATTCAAAATTTGGGTGCTATAAATGCATTAAATTGAAGGACTTTTAATTTGTTTCCATTATTTACCGTCAAGGGCGAATTAGCCTTGAAACAATAAGAAATAACTGCAAATTGGGCCAAAAGTGAGAAGGGAGAAAAAAACCTGGGTTAATTCTAATGATAGTTGCATTGTTTAGGCTTGAATCTAAAAGCCCCTTGGATATTCTCATTTATCACTTTTGTAAAACTTCCAAGGATAAATTGATTAATTAGTTGTTGTTCATTCCTTTCCTAGGTTGAAAGTAGCTCAGGAACGGTTAATGATATGGCAAACACAATGATGCAAAAATTCTGGGATTCAGCACTTGCTTTGGAGCCACCCGATGATTGTGATACTCAAAGGTATTCAAAACTTGCTAATAACGTCACTTAAATTTGGTTCACCTACACAATTTTTATACTGAATTATACAATCTAGTGCTGATGTGAGACTAATTGATCGAAAGTTTTGAGATTAGGAAATCTATGGAAAAAAAAAATTATTTGCCCAGATGCATGTTGTAATTTTGTTTCATCACTGATTCTGTTTATGGGTAACCCGGTTATTCAGTAACCATGCTTAGGGCTTTTTGTTTTCAGTGAATTGTCTACAGTGATGGCTTCTGATGGGGCTGATGGAAAGTTTTCTTATCCTTCTCTTGGTCTTGGAAATTCATTTGCCTTCAAATTTGAAGATCTTAGGGGTCGAGTGCATCGAATTAATTGTGGTGAGTGGTGGTCGAAGGCCAAAAATTATTGCTAGCATACTTTGCCATCACTTTGCTTGACGATCTATATATACCATTCCTAGCATGAATATTTGTGGAGTGATTGCTTAGTGAAAGGATAGAATTGGGTCAATTACAAATTGTTAAAGTCTCTCTGCATCAAAGTATCAAGTTTATCCTTATTATTTTACTATGCACTCTTGAGTTTTTTTTTTTTGTTATATGGATGCCAAATTGATGCCAGGTTGCTAACTTTTCACCCCTCAAAATTTAGAAGGTTAAGTCTTTCTTTAGAAAAAAAAGTTTGTATTTGTTATGTGGCATCTGTTAATTCCACCTCTCCTACTATTATAGAGTCTAGAAAACTGGGATCTCGAATTTTCATTTAATTAGTGATCAATGGGTTATGATTATATCTGTGGATGGGAAAATTAATGGTAGCTTGCATGAGTGGTACGCAGCAGTGGACTTGGTCTGACAGGGGTATTAGTTGTGGCATAGAATTTGCTGTGCGGTGACACATTGGTCTCTGTGGTTTGGTATAGAAGTGTCCATAACTACTGCCTATTGGTGGTGATTGGCAGATTGGGTTTAGTTTTCACTGGGCTAGATCAGCACTCTGTGTGTGGGGAGAGCTCTGTGACTGAGTTAATGGACATGGTTTATTTTTTGTGCGTTTATAGATCAGATGTTTAGATGCTAGAATTGAACCCACAATGACCTTATTTTTTGCCTTTCCTGATTGTTTTATTTTTTTTGTTTATTCTCTTCAGGCATGGAAAATTTAGATGAGCTGGTATCTGCTATCATGAAAAGAATCCGTGTGGCTAATGATCATGATTGTCCTCACATTTTGGTTAAAACTTTGAGCTAATTTTTGGTTTCATCTGATTTATTGGGCTGCAAAACTTCTTAGTGTTTACTTTAGTAATTCTTTCCCCCCGCAGTTTGAAGATGAAGATGGTGATAGAGTTCTACTTGCAACTGATGATGATCTTATTAGCGCAGTCAGCCATGCTCGAGGAATGGGACTGAAGGTAGTATAATGTTAACTATATGCTCCTTTATTGGATTTCTAAGGCCTTTTTTAGCATTTTGCCGCAGTTATTATAAATTAATACTCGTGAACATATTTGTTGATACTTTGATTTGGTTAGAAGTTAAATCTCTTAACTAGAAGCCCGGCAAAAGCCATTAACAACCTTTCCTTTCTTGACGCACTTTGCCCAACTGCAAATGATCATTTAATGATGGTTTGCAGTTAAGAAACTTTTATATTGATAGTTTTGGGGATGAAGGGCTGAGTGTTTAAATTACACTGAGAAAGAGAAGTTTTTCATGAGGGAAAAAATGAAATACTTAAAAAGATAATTACTTTGTTATTTTTTAATATGTTAATAATTATACCGGAATTCAATGGAGGATATGACACCGGGAGGCAGGTTTACGTAGCTTGTTGAATTCGACTGTTGATGAGCTGTACTTGTACATACTGCTCATGGTAGGATCAGATCACTAAGGTACTGTTTGGTACGCAGACGAGACGGGACGGGACGGGACGGAACAGGACGGAACGGATGATGTAAATATTGAAAAAGATAAGGAGAAATTTTGTCATAAAATGTTATAAATTTGTGTTCCACGGATGTGGAACGGGTCGTTCCAGGGTGAAGAGGTGGAACGAAAAATCAGCCAAAATTGTTCCATGGGACAACCCGTTCCACAGTTTTTAGGCGCACCAAATGTGGGACGGAACGGCTCGTCCCGTTCCGTCCCGTCCCGTCCCGTCCCGTCCCACATACCAAACGGATCATAAAGGATGTGTTGGAGTATATATGTGTAATTATTTTGGGATGTATTTTGTGTAACTATTTTTTAGTTGTATGGTTTAATTCTTATGTATACCTCTTCTCTATCTCAGGTTCTAAGGTTGCATCTGGACTTCTCTGATTCTAGCCACCGAAGTGTATCAGGGTCAGGAACAACGACGACCCAAAGAATGGGATGGACGTCTTTGCACACCGGAGTTCTGGCAAGTGCTGTTGTGTTAACAGGCATTGGGGTGCTGTTCTATTTAAAGCGCACTAACCTGTAATGCTTGTCCCGATTGTGTAAAGAAAACATACTAGGATCGATTATAAAGGTACACAAGAGCCCGCCTCGCCCTGGCAAACTTCATTGCCAGAGGGCTCAAGGAAACGAAACATTTTGGACTCGGAACACCAGCAGCAGCAGCAAGTGTTGTGTGACTGCAGAAGGATAAGGTATGCATATTGTAGGTTAGACAAAAGAGCCGGATGAAGGCGATGACTGGAAAATCGATGTATTGTTGTTTCATGTATTACCGTGGAAGGGCTCGCACTTGGCAAATGAGAATATTGAGAAAAGAAAATGGAGAATTTGCTCCAATCAATCTATAAAGCTCATTCGAATTATAATGCGGAAGGGATTGCGTAGTTGCAAGTTTAATCCGTTAATGCGTCGGTAAAAGTGGCCACAACAACGCAACAGAAAAATAAAATGACGTTGTATATGGATGGAATTGGATTTAGAAGTGGCAGTGGTGTCATGGGAATTTGGAGAGTTCAAACTTGTAATCAAAGACCTAAAAGTTACATTAACTAAGAGAACAAGGGAGCATTTGAGATGAGAAATATGTTTTTCTCAAAGAGAAATCTCTTTCCATAAGAAGAAGTCCGCTGCAAGCCGAGAACTTGGGCAAGGGCGGTTGCCTTCTCTACAACTCCTTCCCCGGGGTCTGGGGAAAGGAACCTTCAAAACATTAGAGAAAGACAAGAAGAGCGCGGCGCTCCAGAGAGTGCTATTCGACGAGCTCGAGAGGATCGAAACTGGTTATCTTTTTTTTTTTCATTCACTTAGCCAGTGCTTCAGGTGGAACTGCTCATGTTGGGCATCCAATTAGCGCTCATTGTTTAATTTTTCTTTAATTCGCAATAACTCGGAGTTAATCCCATAGTGCTTCTATCGTATTCATGTCGTTCTTCTATTTCTTTATTTAGTAGTTAAAATCATGAACGTTAATTAGAGTTCGTTCTTTCTCAGTAGTAACTAAACCCTAACTAGTTACATATTACATGTTGGCTTCATGTGGACAGCCACACAATCAATGATATTTATTTACAACACCGTCAATTTTTTCCAACTGCATAACATAAGTTGAAAGAAATAAATAAAACATGGGCGAGTTCAGTATTACTCGATTTTTAGTGGGTCCAAATAAAATAGAAGTGTTACATAACCTTTCATTCTGTCCGTCGTCGTCACTGCGTTCGAACTGAGAAGTCTAACTATCGCAGAGGCGTTCGTTGCTGTGTGTTTGGGTCAGACTCCGACTAAGAAAGCTAAGAAAATGGAGGACATTGAGGATTTGTTGATTGGCAGCGGAGGCGGAGCTCCTCCCGGTTTTCGTCTGCCAATAAACACCGTCGGAATGAACCCAAAGAAGAAACCCAATCCCAATGGCCGCAATACCAACAAGAAGCTATCTCAAATCCAAGACCCACTCGCTCCTCTCTCTCCCAAAGTCCCTGGCACTCAGGTCTCTCTCTCTCTCTCTCCCCCCCCCCCCCCCTCTTTAAAGATGGTTTCTTTCGCTAAGTGCTGACCTTGTTTTTCTCTTTTGGCAGACTATATATATCAAAACATTTGGATGCTCACACAACCAGGTCCGTTTTAGGGTTTATTTCTATTGTAATTCAAGTATTTCTTTTTTCTTCTGAAATTAGCATTGTCATTTTATACTGGGATTACTAGGCAAACCATTCAGGTTGTTGCCTCTACAGTTTTAACAAGATGTTATTAGTTTTGGCTTCAAGTTCAATAATAAGGGGCCGGGTTTCGGTTTTTGTTAAGTTTTGAGTTGTTGAGAATGGTTTGATCGCGTGTGTTGGAAGCCGGATTGAAAGGTTTATGCGGTTTGTGGAAAGAATTATGGGATGAAAACAATACATAAAAATGGGTTCCTTGCTGATAATACATTAATAATAACCTTTAATCGCTCTCGTGTCCTACTGCTCTTCAAGCTGTACGGGAAGAGAAGACTGCTATGTTTTTATGAGGATGCTGCACTTTTATTCTCAGCCTTTTTTTATGACATGGGACAGTCAAATTTTCGAGTCAATGGTCATGTGGTACTTTGTCTTCAACATTTTCCTCATCAGAAATCTGTCACTTCGACGGATGAGGCGAATTGTTAGGCAAATGCCATGCATTGGAGAGGGTAAAAGATGATGTTGCAAGGTAAATATGGTTTGCGTCTTCCTTTGCCTTGTCCCTTGGAGATGCTCATGGATTGTCCCATTGGCTTTTGTAACATGGTTGGCTTTCCAATGCAATGGTGTAGTGTGCACATCCACATAGGTTGGGAAACAAAAGTTGCCACATAGGTTGGCCATTTAAGCAGTTTCCAATTCCATATGTTTATTATGAAACCGAAGAACTGAAAATATTATTTCATCTATAAAAAGTGCTGGAAGGGGGCTTGAAAGATTAGAGAACATCAAATTGAGGGGGTTATATCAGGTTAGCTTCTTAGAATTAAATATATAGAATTTGGTGGAGTTTTAAGTGATCATAAGTGTTGCCTGGAAAGCCATTGGCGGACAGGATCCTAGTAAAGCAGTTGTTGATTTTCAGGGTAAGTACTATCAATAGATGATCCACCTGAGAAATGCATGACGCCAACTGGTGCATAAGTAAAGAACTGGCGGTGGCTGCATTGCTTTTCTAGATGTTCATGAAATAAGGGTGTATTCGATTAGATTTGTTGGTAGAAGCTTGTGGATCTATATCTGCCATTTTAGCTATTTGCTGATTATCCTCTCTCATCAACCTTTTTCAAATTGATCTAGTGATAATTTGATACCAAGTTTTAGGTTGTCATTGTGGGTACAAGTAGGATTTCTATGGTGATAAAGGCCCCTTTTCTTTGGTTGGAGTATTAAACTCCTTTGTTCTATTTACTTTGGATCTTGCATCCTTTCTGATGGTACTGTATGGAGTGGTAATGATGGGCTGCTTATTGTATTTTTACATTTTCTTTTCCCATCTATAAAAAGACCGTGTACTGAGAACTTTGCACTTTTAGGGAGATTGTCAGTGGATTTAAACTTAATGTTAACTCCTGCTCTTTGTTCACCTTTTTATCTTGCTTGACCATTAATGCTATATTAGCATGAGATCTGGTCATGTCACCATCATTGTTTTCTAAATTTTCTATTCATTAGAGAATGCATTAAATTTCTCATTTTTGTTTTCGCCCCTTGCACTTTGTTGTTGTGTCAGAGTGACAGTGAATATATGGCTGGTCAACTTTCAGCTTTCGGGTATCCGTTAAGTGACAATCCTGAGGAGGCAGACCTGTGGCTCATAAACACGTGAGGATTCTTTTATTTGTCTCATTTTTTTGGTGGATTTGGTCATGCGTTACATTGAAACAATTACGTAATTATATTTTATAATCAAAGGTAGGGAGTATTTAGTGCTTCAGTCTTTGGGAAATCATTTTGGCACTTGCTAGAATTTAATACGCAGATTATAGTTTGTGTCATAGTAGATTTTGAACTTTAGTAGACCTGTTTTAGATGCTATTCCTATATTTAAGTCAACTATTCCATATGTGTGCTTTTTTGCCTTTCTTTTACTGTTGAAGTTTTCTTTGAAGTTGACTCTTTTTCTTTTTTTTTTATTTTTTTTATTTTTTTTAAGATACTCTTTATATGTGTCCAATTTTTTAATTTTTACGAATGATGTCTTTTATTATCTGTTAACTCATAATTCTCCGTGTATTTATTTTGTTACTTGATGTAGATGCACTGTCAAATCTCCAAGTCAGTCTGCCATGGACACTCTGATAGCAAAAGGTAAAGGTGCAAGAAAGCCCCTGGTGGTGGCTGGGTGTGTTCCACAAGGAAGTCGAGATCTAAAGGAGCTAGAAGGTGTCAGTATTGTAGGAGTCCAGCAAATTGACCGTGTGGTTGAAATTGTTGAAGAGACTTTGAAAGGTCATGAGGTGCGCCTTTTGAGTCGTAAGACATTGCCCGCACTTGACCTCCCCAAGGTGCGTTTCGTAGATTTTTACCATGGTGTTTGCATTTTATTTTGTTTCCTTTTAAAATTAGTTTTTGATTGTTACCCACTCCTGCAATCTGTTTCTGTTTCTACCTTATATTGTTTTTCTACCTATGTTGTCTACTAGTCTAGATATGGAGTTTTTTATTTGATTTTTTATTTCCACAGGTGAGGAAAAACAAGGTCGTTGAGATTCTTCCCATTAATGTCGGTTGTTTAGGTGCTTGCACTTACTGCAAGACGAAACAAGCTCGTGGTCATTTAGGAAGTTATACTGTTGATAGCCTTGTAAGTATCATGCCACTGGTTTTTCTTATATATTATATCTGTTTCCAGTTTATTAGAATTTTAGCACTGCAGGTGGGACGTGTAAAATCTGTGGTAGCTGATGGAGTTAAGGAAATATGGTTGAGCAGTGAAGATACTGGCGCTTATGGTAATTTGTAGTTATAATTCTATTTTCTTGATTGATTAGTGATTGTGGAAGTACTTGTTTATCTGGAGAAACTTTGCCCCTGTGTTGAAGGTACTTGGTTTTAGTGATTTAATTTATACATTGATGTGAAGTAATCCTTGCAAGCATGTTGGATTGACCCAACTATGTAACCTTGAATTTTTATTTATATATTTATTTAGTTTTTATATTTTCTTTTAACTTGTCTTTCTGAAAGTGTAAGAAATTGTAAGATAATTCCCCAAATAATCTTTAAGTGAACGATAAATTTTTGGGCTTTATAGCTCAAAACGGCAATGTCAGCTTAGTTGTAAACATGTAAAGTATATTTGAACAGAAAAATAGAGTAAATAATAAGTATACCATGGTCACGTGTGTTGAAACCTTCACAGTTGTAGTATAATTGTTTGTTGGATGTTGGAGGAAAAATCACTTCAGGACACACCAAAAAAGTAAAACTTAAAAGGAAAAAAAAAGTCAAAATGCTGTTTATGCCATGTTTTAGTTTATTAATAATGGTTGCCCTGATGTTTGCAGGTCGTGACATTGGGGTCAATCTACCAATTTTATTGAATGCAATTGTCGCAGAACTCCCTTCTGATGCAAGCACAATGTTACGAATTGGGATGACAAATCCTCCATTCATTCTGGAACACTTGAAGGAAATAGCAGAGGTTTTGTGTCATCCATGTGTATACTCATTTCTACATGTACCAGTCCAATCTGGAAGTGATGCCGTCTTGACCGTAAGTCCTAATTTTTTTCTTCTCTTTTTTCATAGATTATCACATTTTCTTATGGCTAAGTTTGACTTATCCTTTTACTTTGTCTTCCTAGGGCTTTAATTATAAGTGTAGTTTAACAAATCTAGACTTCCGATTACATTAAGGTTGCTTTATTCAAATAACCATTATTCAAATAGCTATGCTTATTCATTCAGGCAATGAATCGGGAATATACTGTAAGTGAGTTCAAGACAGTGGTAGATACCCTAACTGAGCTTGTGCCAGGGATGCAGATTGCAACTGATATAATATGTGGATTTCCTGGTCAGTATGTAGCTTGATTCTGATATCATGGCTCCTGTTTGTTTTTGTACTTCACATGGATCACTTTTTTTATATGTACATATTCATTGTTGATCAATTATTGATGTAACATATCTCTAAAAGTTCAATTTGAGATTGTGACTCTAGGGAACACCAAAAGCAAGATAAAGAACTAAGATTAAGTTGGAAGTTTTGAGAGATAAACTTAGCATGAAGGGGATATAAATGATTCCTGGTGGTAAAAGCACTAAGATTAAGTTTGAAATGTTGAGGGGGATAAACTTAGCAGATCCCTGGAGGTGAACAAAGTACGTTAGAATGTTTTGAAGAGTTGGACACCAAGAAGCCTTGAATACTACATACGTCCCTATTCATGGTATTGTATATAGATATTTTGCCTAATACGCCTGGCTCCAGTGGTACCTGATTTTTTCATAGACTTCCAGATATGCTCTGGATAAACTGCAAATATGTCTGGATATGTTTATGGGGCTGAAATTGGTTTTCTTTTGTTCAATGGCATGATCTTTATTTCTTGCTTTTATTAGAGGAAATTAAGGTTCTTTAACATCATATATAATAACGGCAAGTTTGTAGGGTTTTAAAAAATATGTATGAAAATATTTGGTTGCTAATCATCTAATCAGCAAGTAACCAGTATGCTCCCAGCTAGAACTTATCTCTCCAAGAACAGCGTTAACAATAACATATTCTTGGAGTATCTATATTATTTACAGTTATGGTGGGTGCATTGGGGCATCTTGGGGGATTTGATTACTTTATTCTCTGCATTGAGCAGTGCAGAGAACATTACTTGAGAAGTTTACACTTATTTCATGGCTTCTCAGGTGAAACGGATGAAGATTTTACTCAAACTCTTAGCCTTATTAAGGAGTACAAGTTCTCCCAAGTTCATATTTCACAGTTTTATCCTAGACCAGGTATGATAATATCTGGTATGATAATAGGTTGGAGCCAGTCTTCGCCTTTTATATGTTATAATTGCAGCTTGGTCTAATACTTTGGGATGCCGTAAAGGGCGTCATATGCACATACACAATGGTTAAAGCATGGTATATACATATTTCATTGTCCATATATGGGGAGCTGATATAAATACAAAGTTACGATTAAGTTTATTGTTTTTAGGCCATGTAACATTATACACCCCCTGCTCAGTTTGATAAAAAAGAAAAAGTGTGCATGGATATGGTTTGAAGCATAGTTTATAAAATACGGGATTAGTATAGCACGTGAGCGATATGTATGTGTAAAAATTACACGTATTAAACATAGTATTAATATTTATTTATTTAAAATATTATTGTTTTTTTCCTATAATAAGTTAAGGTACATGTCAAATACGTAAATTTTATATGTATTATTGAACAGTGAAAATTATACGTATTAAACATGAAAGTATATACATGTGTAATACTGTATCGTACGTGGAGTTTTAAAAACAAGTATCTTAATGATTCACTGAGACGTACAGTAAATGAAAGTAGTATTCAAAAAATACGGACTTAAGTGCATAATATACGATATTACTATATTCGTGGCTGCTACTATTGTAGAAACCATGCTTCAAAAGTTTTGTAGGACAATGTATCATGGGAAACAGGAAAGTTAAGAGTGCTTTATTACTTTTTTTTTTTGGCAAATAGTCACTGATGTTGGACAAACCGGACAAAAGTTGCGCCGTACCACATGTCTGCAGGACCAGAAATAGAGAAGATAGGAATGAAGAAAGAAATAAAAAAATGGGAATATAGGAGAAGAGAGGGCAGAGAGGTAGAAGAGATTAGGTAGAGAAATACTTGGAGGGTGTTTTGGGTAAACTCAGTCTTTATTGCCAATCAATATGCCAAACCTAAACCATAAAGCAGCCTATGTAGAGACAATCCTACAAGTGTGATTTGATAGCTACAAATTTTGACTAGAAACATAATATTAGTTTTGTGACCCCAAGGGATTGTTTCTCCTTTCTCTGTGAAAGTCGCAAATTGTTTTGTAAAAGGGCAGGAATGCCAAAATTATGTGGGCTGTCCTGTTGGCGCTGGTTGGTTTTGTGTGCTCTTCTCAACAGCCTTCCCTTCCGATTGGTCATTGTTTGATGCATAAATGGTCTTTACACATGTTAAAATAAATAAAGAGTTACCTACAGATGTGCTCTAACCACTTGATGGTATTTGTTAAATTTCCATAACATTTTACTTACCGAAACTGGTGTTGGTCTGGGAAGGAAAATATTTTTAACCTAAAGTGAGGATGATAAGTTAGGTGTTGCACTATAGTACGGAAATCAGTTAGCTAATACATAGATTTTTAATTAGCTTTTGTGCTTTATCTTGTTTGTAAATTTAGGAACCCCTGCTGCAAGGATGAAAAAGGTCCCCAGTACTGTAGTGAAGAAAAGGAGCCGTGAATTGACGTCTGCTTTTGAAGCTTTCGCACCATATGTTGGGATGGAGGGCAGGGTGGAAAGAATATGGATAACTGATATTGCTACTGATGGAATTCACTTGGTAAGTATATGTTTTTGTCGACTCAACGTTTGATAATAATGAAGTGCAAAGTTATGTGCTGACGTAGTGTTTGTTATTTCAATTTTGGTGCCAATGATCTTTCGGTCTAGTAACACCATGTTGGCCATTTTAGCCAAGAGTTTTCGGGTTTATGACGATTCTTCAATCGAGGAATGAAGTGAAGTGATTTTTTCAATTTTATGTTCTATGTTTGCCCCAGGTTGGCCATACCAAGGGATACGTGCAGGTTCTTGTAGCCGCTCCGGAAAGCATGTTGGGGACTTCAGCTATCACGAAGATCACATCGGTAGGAAGGTGGTCAGTTTTTGGAGAAGTGATTGAGACCATCCCTCACATAAATGATAAAACAGCTTCAACAAATGAAACGCGTAGTCAGGAAAAATGTTTTCCAGGTGCCAACAATTGTGAGACTTGCGCGTGTTCTACGGAACCAGAAACTTGTGCCTGTGGACCGGAAAGCTGTGGAGGACAGGCTACCTCGGGAGAATGTGCCGTAACGAAGAATGTCGTTCTGTTGGAAGATCGGAATAACAGAAATCTGCTTGGATGGTTACTGAGGAAGCGAAAGAATCAGGTTGAGAAACGCGTGGAGAACGAAATCGGCTTGGGATCCCAGAAGAAGCAAGAGCAAGCCCAAGGAAGATTGGGTGAATGGGGTTTTGTCGATATGGCTCTTCTGGGCGGGATGCTCGTGAGCTTCCTGACAATCGTAACCCTACTAGTACATCTCGGCTTTAGGATTCCGTCGTCTAATTAATTAGCGAACATTGGCTGTACTAATCCAATTTTTGTCGAGGATTTTCATGGAAAGTTGGCCACATGAGCTTGTCTGTATCTTCAGAAATATAATATTTTTGGTATGATTGTAATGCTGGATATAGAGTGTGGCTGCATGCAAGTTGTTGTAACTGCTTTTCTCTTAAGTGCTTTTCTTCACTTGTAATTGAATCTGGATCTGATTTTTTTGTAACTGAAAGCTGAACCTGATGGAAATAAAAGTCTGGAAGGTAGAGATAAACGACCTGTTTGGAAATGCTCTAAAAGTAACTAAAAGCGCTTTCAGATCACGAAAGTTGTTCTAACCATGTTTGCTAGATATGAAAGTGCTCCTGAGTTCAAAATAGCTATTTAAGTGTTTGCTGGATGAAGCACCATGAAGCATTTTCAAGTACTTTTCCATGAAGCATTTGCATATTTATTAAAAATTTCAATGTGCTAATAAAAGCGCTTTTACATAAACTGCTTATGAGCACAAGTGTTTCTTGAGAATACAGTTCCAAACGAGATAGAAATCTTAAAAGAATTGACTCTACGGATGGGATTGACAAACTGGATGTACATATTATTCAGTTGGTTTATTTACTAAGTAACCTTTTTCTTCACAAGAATGAAGTGAATAATCAAGATAATTAGCTGCAGGTAATAGTTCCAGTTTCATAGTAGCATATCTGACTTGGATGGCAGTCTCTTGAAGAAATTAACTGGCGCAGAAGGCATCCTGCTCCTGAATCGCGGATGCCGAAGCAAGTAGACTCCGAGCAGCACTGCCACGATCTGGAACGGAGTAATGTATATGAACACGGCCCAGATCAACGCGAAGATGATGAAGATTGCTGTTGCTCTCGGATCCCTCCAGCTTAGTAATGATTGGGCTCTTTCCCCTTGGGTTGCCAAATCTCCAACCACCGTCTGCACCCTTCCCGCCACGCTACGCAACCTGTCGTACCTCATCCTCACAATGTCGGAGGGTCGACTGGTGGGGAAGCTGTCAAATTCCTCGTCCAACTCATCCGGATGGGTGTACTCTGCCTGTGAAATCCGAGCATCCATGTGCGGTGGGCTCCTTGGCCTGAACCTGTAGTTCCATATGCCAATGACAAAGAGGTAGAGGAAAATTGTGGGCAGTATTAGTTCTGGGTAGCAAACTAATATCACAAACAAGATATGGACGAGGCACGTTATGATCGGGTTTCTCCAGCAGCAAATGTCGTTAAACCATCTGCAGACAGTCGTGACACCGGAAAGAACCGACATTATGCGATGGAAGTTGGCTTTGCTTCTCCTCAGACTAAACATATGGTAGTCTATATCTAACATGTACTCGACAATCTCCCGCCTGAGCGGTGGCTCTGAACGGGCTAGCCTCATCGATACAATTTGCATTGCTTGGTGGCGGAGCCAATCAACGTACCTAACGGGTATAGGTTGGATATAGTGCATCTTCGGAAGCAATGGTCTTCCATATTGTGCTACCATGTTAACCCAAGCAGTGCAAGTGAACCTCAATGCTAACTGAAGTTCCCCGTGCTTTTTTAAACCCGACGGTGTGAGGATCAGCAGGGGATAGAAATGCGTATAAACTCGATCTGTTTCTAAAGTCGATAATCGAATTCTCACCTTCCCAATCCTCTGATCTCTCGCTTCTTCCTTGCTTCCGTTGAAATGGCAGTTGTCGAAAACACCAATGGTGATGACAGTATATGGATCATAAACTTCCCAAGTATACTGCTCATTCCAGCGAGGAGTCAGTGTGTCGAGAAGCGTTCTGGTTCGCACCCACTTGTTTCCGTACTTGGCCACGCAGTACGCATCAGTAGTCCTACCCTCCTTTCCCTTCATAGGCAGCAAATTTTTGGCACTCAGGATCCCAAGCTCAAGAATCCCAATGCCTGGTTTCCGCAGGTGCTTGGACGACGGCTGAAGATCGCTGCTAAAGTGAGTGGACTCATCAAGAACATGATAACCGGCCTCTAAACAGATGCGGAGCTGAATCTTACTCGAGAACTTCTCCTTCTTCTTTTCACTTTCTTCTTCAGCAGCTGCTGAATGCTTGCGGAGATTGAACCATTTAGGCTCGGGGAGCTTATGAGTGTGAGTCTCAATTCTCTGAGGAACGTCCTTAACCGAAAGAATCAGGTTCCCTAATACCTCATCCTTTCCACCAACCCTATCATCGACTGATATAATTATGTATTCGTCGAAAGGCTCGGAGGCCACGAACATGAGCTCATCGTTCCAAATGGGGTTAACAGTGCGCACTTGGGAAGGCCTTGAGACTCTGAGCTGATTCCCAAGCTGCACCTTGACATATGTCTCCAAAGGACGGTTTCTGTCGGAAGGGACAAGATCCTGAGCCTGCAGAACTTGAACTCGAAGGTAATATAGCTTGGGGGAGAAGTAAACCTTTGAGCGAGTGGAGGCCAGATTGACGTGGCCAATGTCGTGCGCATCGGAATGCCAGGCGTCGGGAAAAGACTCGTCAGCCTGAGTCCCCACCCAAACAGCAAGCATAAGCTCTCCTCTCACCTTGTGCCCGTGCTTGTCCTCCAACCTGTACCACTGGGGAGCCAAAGGGCTGTCGGGCGGCACGCGAAGGGGGACTTCGGTGAGGTCGAAATGTACTCTCCCCACAAAATCATCCTTGCCAAAATCCTTGTCTTTGACGGCGACTTCAAGCTGATTGGATTGCAGGCGCTCTTTCGAGAAGGCGAAAATCTGGTTCCACACGGGGTTCTGGTTCTTATCCAAATGCTTTGTCACCCCTTTGTAGTTGCCGAGCTTCACCTCCACATAAGGATCAAGGCTTCCTGTAACATCCATGGTTGGAAGATCTCTTGCCTTCACCACACTCACATACAAGAAGTGCATCTGCTCAACCAGATCGTATGTGCTCGAAGTCTTGTCCCCTCCAAATCCAAACCCTCTGTACCGCCGCGCTGCCAATGGTGGACTTGTCTCCACCAGGGCGAATTCCGGGTTCTGCCGCGGAGCCTGCTGCTGCATGTGCATAACCGTGGCAGGACCCGCACGGGCAAAATCCGTCCTTGTTTCGACGGTGGGCGCCTTCTCCTTCATGTGGGATGTCTCAAATCCAGACCCGTATGACATTGGAGGAGGTGGATAGGAACCACCGCCGCCACCGACACCGCCTCCGCCACCGACACCGCCTCCGCCTCCGCCTCCCGTCCCAGTACCGATGGTGTGGAAAGTTCTCACTTCCTTTTCCTTCTTCTTCTTGATCTTCTCTCCCCCAAACTGGCGGTGATGAATCTCCTCATCGATCCTATTAGTATTAATTTCCTGCAGGGGAGGAGGAGGAGCAGCCTCTGCAGCACCACCAGTGCTAGCAGTAACAAATTCATCATTTAGAACTGGCGGTGCTTGCGGTGGCGGAGCAAAGTCACCGTTGCTGCTGTAATCTTGAACAGCGTAGATTCTGAGGGCAATATCGCCTTTGACATTGGAGAAGAGGCCGCGTTTATCAAGCGGGTAGCGCTGGACGGTGGCCTGAGACTCGGAGAGAGGGACGGAGTCGCCGGAGATTCGCACACGGCCGAGGAAATTCTTATGGTGTCCGGTTTTTCTGTCATTGTAAACGACAACGTCAACGGTCTTGTGGGAGAGGTGAGATGGGTCGTCGATGTTGAAGACGAGCTTCTCGTTCCAGTAAGGATTGAGGTCTTTGGGCTTGGTCTGAGTCCGCTGCCGCTGCCCCTCGAAGTCGACCTCAACGAAGGGACTCGCAAACCCGTCGCCGTCTTTGGGCATCAGGTCGCTTGCGTCGTGAACTTCCACCACGAGTTTAGTACTGGCCATGGCTAGCTCGGCGAAGCTCAGAGGAGGTTGTCTGGTAAAATGGAAGGGTAGCTAGAAGGAGTGGGAGTGAAGGAGAAGAAGAAGACAGAAGTGGTGGGGGAGAGGAAGAGTTGGCGGAGGTGGTGGAGATGAGATGAGGGTATTCATTTGGAGTAAGAAGACAGAAACAAATGTTAGAAAGGTTGAGAGAGAAAAGTGTCGAGTCGAGGAGTTTGGTGGGGGAGGAGTGTGAGGTGGCCCTTTTGGATCATATGGCATATTTGACAGGGAAAGATTCTGGTGGTGGTGGCGGTGGGTGCGTTTGTGCTTTTAGGAAATTAGTAGACATTTTATAATGCCCTGCATATTCATGCAAAGTGAATTAAAGGAATTTTAACGAAAAGCTTTCAGTACTGTTTATTTTAATAAAAATTTATATTTTTGTACTAAAAAATCAATCCAAGTACTATTTACTTTACCATTTATCTTATCCTTATCGTTAAAACTCAAAGTTTTCAAGTCTTTTTTATTAATTTTCCTTAAAAGGGAACTTTAACGAAAAGTTTCCGGTCCTGTTCACTTTAACAAAAAAAATCATATTTTTACACTAATGTTGTCGACATGAATCTATACCATACATTTTAATTCGACAATTGCGACAAGTGGTTCAGTAAAAAAGTACGAATAGTAGCTCCTTAAAGTAAAAAAAGAGTAAGTCTTAGGTTCGTATTTTGTAAGTTGTGAATCTACTTGATCGTGGTTACGAGTTGTAAGAGTATGAACATGAGATTGGATGTTTTGATAGTGAGTGATTAAGTCCAAATGGTATAAGAAAGCCTTATGAGAAGTTGTATACTAATTCTTGTTTATAAAGGATTATGTTTTGGTATTAAACTGATATGAATTAGAAAACATAAGTTGTTTTCTACAAGGATTTTAATAGGGAATTCTTATTGGATTATGCCTATATATATTGTGACATCTGCTCTCACATATGGGTGTTCTATTCGGAACTAAGTCCTATTCTTGGTTAGAGCGTGTAATAATCTAACAGAGAGGAGAAGAGTCCCAGTGCGCAGAGATCACGTCTTCAAATGGAGGTTCATCAGGTTAGTGAAATTGCAGTGCTTTTATATAGAAAAGGTTTTGTGCTTTACTTGATTGTGATTACTGCAACTTAATCTTGTTTTTGGCTATAAAAGTTTAACACGAGTAGGGTGCAATTCTCAACTAGTCTCCTTCGGACCGGAAGATGTGGATAATTGTGGTTTGTCACTAGTTATCCCCTTTTTCAAAGGAAGATTTTTTTTTTTATCGGCATGGAGACATTACTATTTTCTGTAGAAAGGAAGTATGGCTAGAAAATATTTACATATTTAGGAATATAACAAAAAAATGTTCTCTTAATTATCAGGTAACAAAAAATATATGATTGCACATCGTTGGAGTTGATATTAA